GTAGGAGGCCTTGGGGTGGTGTCCAGGAGGAGGGGATGTGTTGGAGGTGGGAGGAGGGGTCAGTAGAGGGAGGGTTAGGCTCACGGTTAAAGAAGTAAGCGCGGAGGTGGAGGCAGCGGAAAAACTGTTCAACGTCCAAGCGTGCGCAGTATTCGTTGATGTGTGGGTGGAGGGGGACAAAGGTGAGCCCTTTAGCGAGGACTGACCGTTCGTCCTCAGTAAGGGGGAGGTCTGGGGGGGATGGTGAAAACTCGGCAGGGCTGGGTGCTGCTGTCTCCTCTGGAGCTGCTGCCTGTGGAGGTGATGGGCGGAGCGACGTCAGCGGTGGGCGGAACGATGTCAGTGTCAGCGGTGGGCGGAGTTGCGTCGGCGGTGGGCGGAGCAGGGTAGGCGGCGGCAGCACCAGTGTCAGCACCGGTGTCGGCAGGTGCATCCTCAGTGTCTGTGGAGTTAGCCTCGGAAATGGAGGCGGTGGCATCAGCAGCGGTGTCGATGGCGTTCGCTGTCCCGGAAGTGGTGTACCCAGCAGCAGCGGATGTGACGTCATCCGTGGGTGCTCCGCCAGTGGCCACATGACCAATGGTGGCGGGCATACTGTGGGGAAAGTCCTGGGTAGGGTTGGGGATTTGGGGGGTGGAGGAATCCCGTTTTGGGTGGCAGGGACCAGTAAGTTTACTGTACTTACGGTTCTTAGTGTCCAAACCTTTCCAGATAGCAAGACACTCAATTTCAAATAATATTCATTCGCAGAAATACTGGACTTCTACTTAATCAAAATACATTTACACCTACTCTAAACTATCAGGAAACCACTTCACCACAAAGGGGACAACAGAAACAAAATGGGTAATATAGATTTGAAAAGTGATAACGGAGCACACAGTCTGTATAACTGCTCGCCCTGATCTGGGAGAGATAGAGGGAGAACGCCATCCCCACTGTTATCTCCAGAAGAGGGATCCCAGACAGCTACTCTCTCCAAGAACTATTTGCACAGCTATCTCCCTGCAACGTACCAACACAGGCCTGTTCCGTACCAGGGGAACCAATGGCAACCAAGCACGACCAGCAAATCTGACGACCGATGACCTCTGAAAATCACCGACATGACTGACAAGGCCTCAGACACATCCTGAGGTAAAAACCAGCTCATAAAACTACCACAACTAAGAAAACCCAAGTTCTCAAACCAGAGTGAAGGCCTACACCATCCCAAGTCTTCAGTGAAGCACCAGCTACGACAAGTGGGAACGGCCAGCTGTATTTTAAAATCGTGCTTATCCCCAGTAGTGAGCCTATTTCCTCGAGACCCAAAGTATCCAAACTGGCTAGCAGGGAGGGAAAGGTGGAGTGGTGACAGTGCAGGGCACCCCAAGGTCAGGAAGTCTAATTAAAGTGTCTGTGTTTGAAATTTACTGTTTAGTTTCTAGTAGTAATTAACCTGTGCTGTGAAGAACTGATCGTGTCAGTTTCACTGTTTTGAATTTGCCATTTTATCTCTTGTACTTTATTCACCTTTGTGTTATTTCCCTGTTTATTACTTTTGCCTTTTTATTTCTTGTGATATATCTTTGCATTTACTAAGTGCAGAGATTCTTTGCCCTGAAACACCTGTCTACTGCCTTCTTCATATCACATT